CCCCAAAACCCCAAAACCCCTTATAGCAAATATATTCATTTGAAATGTAAAAGGATTTTAAGTTAATATTTAGATATTTTAATATCAACGATAAACTATTATTAACACGAGAATCAGCATGGATAATAATTATGGAATATAAAGGAAAGCAGAAAAAAATAACTTAAACTTTCTCAATAAAAGTATAACTAGCAGAGTGAGTCAAATTAATAAGACCAATACAGTTTTAAACAGTTTTGATAAAATCAGTCAAAATTTAGAAGAGAGGTTTATAGGATGAAAATAACAATATAATAATCCAATGAAAAATACTTTTTGGAATGGATTTCGATAGGAACTCTAAGTAACTGAGAAAGAATAAGGAATGTATCGTAAATATTAAATAAGAAAGAAACATTAAGGTGGAGATTTTGGCTTCAATAAATCAGTTGATTTTTAAACTGAGTGAAAGAAATTACTGGATTTGGAAGAAGAACAAACTAAATTAGATTTAGTGACTAAACCCTAGGATGAATAAGAGTAGGAGGAGAATCCTTATCAAGATGAATTCATAACTATCGCCAAAAAAAAAGAGGAAAATAAGGTTAAAGTAGACTGGAGATTCCTAGTTAATTAGAACAACGATTACACTCTTATATCAAAAGCTTTGAGGTCATTCTTAGATAATTAAGAAAAAAGAGATGAATAAAGACTTAAATAAGAATTGAAGCAGACAATGAGTGATGAGAGGTCGTTTCGAATTTAAAAAACTAGGGAAATTAATAAACTTAGGAAATAATTTGTTTTTAACAAAAAGGATCCTAACTATAATGAAAATTATTAGAGTCAAATGATGCTATCCAGTTCAATTTTTGAACAGGAGAGTAAAAGCTAAATGTCTTAAAATTAAGAAGAGCATAATAAGGATCTAATCCTTGATAAAACTTTAGAAATGAATCTCTTCGAGGGGAATTTATTTTTAACTTAGGGTGTACCTCAAACAATTCAAACCACTGAAATGCATGATTAAAATCTCTTTAGCATTATCTAACCATCATAGCTTGATTCAAATAAAATTTAATATGTACGAGATAAGGAGCTTGATACATTCTATACAATAGATTAGAATGTAGGCTATGATATTCATTACAATCCAATGTTTGAAAGTTTAGAAAGTTAAAAATTGAATACTAAATTAAATGTATTCAACAACTAACCACTAAGGCCACTCAAATTAAAAAACAAAGCATAAATTTATAGTGAAATCCATGCTGAAAATTAACTGACATTTTAAAAGAAATATAACTCTTAAATATCTCCAGAAAAGATTGAGGTATTATGATAAAGATATAAAGAGAAATTGATAACTAGAAGTTTTGATAGGAAAGATGGCAGTCAAGATATAAAGAGAATTAGTGAAATTATATATGATGATAAGTTTCGCTTCAAGTATTTAAAGGATAAGACATCAAGGAATATTCTGTCTCAATCTATGGATTATAGTGGATTTTCAAAGTCAAATAGTTAACGAGATGTGAAAAATAATTACTAATCCTAGGAAAGCATTTCACTTTAGCAATAAGTTTACAATAGCACAGAGGATCTTTACAAACAAGATTTAAACTTAGATTTAGACAGTTTAGCGAATACTCTTGAGAATGAATTCAAATTCATGCAGATTCCAAGTAAACTAGAGAAAATGACCAAAGATCATAAAATAAGAGTTTGGGAGGCAAGGAATCACGGTAAATAGCAGAAACAGTAAAATCTCAGAACAAGCTACACAAGAACAGAAAGATTCAATACTGATGAAGAGTAGTATAGGCAAGTATTTCGATAGTAATCGCTTTAAACACGAGGCATGGAAAAAGACGAAGATGCAGTGATAAGATACAATAAATACCTTAACAAGATTTTGCTTTTGAATAAAGATGAGTTTTTTACTCAAAAATTAAGGGCTTATCTTGCAAAATAGAAATAGAAGCAGCCAGCTTTATTTGGAAAACTTGACTTTTTTTCTAGAATGACCATGGATATTGTAGGCAGAGAAAAATTAATACCTAAAAAATCAACAATAGAATTAGGTGAGAAGCAAAATAGTGCTATTTAAAATGACTAAAGTAATAACAACTTTAGATAAATTGATATTCAAACGCAGGATCGAACTGACTTGAAAAGTAATTAGAGGTTAAGAAGCAAGTTAAACTAATAAGAATTTGCTGTTGTCTCTTCAAAATTAATTCAAAAGGATAATAAAATGCCTTTTATTTCTAAAATGAAGACAATGATAGAATTTAATGAGAATAATGCTTATAAATGATTTATTCAAAGTTATACTACTTAATAATTTGACAAATAAAGAAATGATGGGGTTTTGGGGTTTTGGGGTTTTGGGG